AGTAAGAAAAACAGCTCAACTGAGCAGATACAGTGTGCTGAGCCCTCTGCTGCTTGACATAATCTGATGGAATTGTCACAGTTTCCTGTGAGTTGGATAGTTTTTAATCCCTATTTTACAGATGCCGAAAGTGAAACCAAGTGAGGTTAAGGGCACAAGTTGGCTCATTGTGGAGCCTGAGACAGCCTTTCGAGTGCGGGTAACTACTCTCTCCTCGACTTCCTCCCTGTGGAAAAGAGGGGAGTGAGAGTGAAGAGAGTTGTGGGGCCAGTTAGGGAGCAACCAAGAGTTTGTTGTTTTTCTCTTGTTTATATTTCTTTGTGTTTTTCTTCCAGTGCACAAGCCCATTATTGTCTGTGGGTTTGGAAAATAATTTGTTTGAACACTTAACTTCAGTTCAACAAATTCAGCAGATGTTTCTTGATCTCCCTGCTTTGTGCCATCATCCCTTCCATAGAGTAGGGAGCAACATAGACAAGGGTTCCACTCCCATGGAGCTTTTACTTGGTGAAGAAATCAGCAGTGACTTGAACTATGGAAAAGATGCAACAACAGGATGAAGGGATAGAAAGAATGTGGGGGCTACATTAGACTGGTGGTCAAGGGCAGCCTTGACTAAAATCTGAGTGAGAGAAGGTACCATCCAGGTGAAGATATAGGGGAAGATCCTTTCAAAAGGTTGAAGAGTCCACTTCAGTGAACATGTACCACATGCCAGGCATTGTGCAATAGCCTAGGAATAAAAAGATGAACAAGATTGAGACCCTGCCCTACAAGAGCTGAGCCCTAGAGGCAGACTGACCCACAAACCAACAATCGAGTCAGACTGTTGCTTCTCTAACAGTTTTGACAGTTGGCCAGTGTAGATGGACATCAATGCACATCTTCCTAGATCACAGCTTTATTCCAAGATCTGGAAGCAAAAAGTTAAACAATTGGTATTTTACATTAAAGTAAACATAAATATACATTCCAGTAGAATGTGAAATTTTCCTGAATTTTGAGACTTCATAAACATTTCATGATTCTAGGAGTTAGGAGTAAGGGTACTTAAAAAGTACCCTTCCTCCACTTCTCAGTAACAGGCATTTCACTGTCTTCTATTGTTACGGGTTTTTTGGTTTTAAAAAAAAAGTTAGCAAAGCAACTTCTGCTGTAAGGGAGGCATATGCCAAGAGTACAGAGGAAAGAGTAGGAAAAGGAACCCTAGGGAATGAGTAGTCTTGAAGGATGAGTTGAATTTCAACCCAGCACCTCCACAGGAGGAAGACCTGGCAACCCGCTCCCATGAAGATTACAGCCTAGAAAACCCTGTGGGGCAGTTAGACTGTCACATGGGACATGGGCTTGCTATGAGTCAGAATTGACCTGATGACAACTAGTGGAAACAGTTGGTGCGGAGTCAGTTCCACCTCACCGTGACTCCACGTGATAGACTAGAAATGGATCGTGAGGCCTTTCTTCCAAGGTCCCTCAAAGTGGACTGGAACTTCCAACCTTATGGTTAGCAGCTGAGGATGTTAACCATCTGCATTACCCAAGGACTCCTCAAGAGATGCAGAATGCAGGAAAGAGTACTTTCCCCAAAGGTTGAGTGGCTAGAAAAAGCTTGGTGTATGCAAAAACAACAACAACAAGCACACTGGTTCATAGATAGCACTTGCTTGATTTGGTTTATTTGTTAAAGTGTTGTAACCAATTCAAGATGAAAAGCTGTACAGAACATCAATGTAGTTTGTACAGTGGATTTAGATATATATAGGACAAGAGGCACATTCTAAGTGGAAAACTTACCACTGACCCAAAACCTAACAAAAGTCAGTTTTTCTTGGTGACATAAGTTAGGAAATTAGAGTTACATCACAAACCACAATGCTGGGCTCACCAGTTTTCTTCCATCAAACACTGGATCCCATTTGCAGAGATTTTTTTGCAGATGCAGCACTGGCCTCTTGGCAGGCTCAAGGAGGGACATCCTCACTAATCCTTCACTGAAGTTTTTGGTTCCTTACTTGCTTATTTGGATTAGAAAAAGGCACACTTCTTCAAGATACTGTACTTCCATCTGCTTCAAAATCGTAACCTACAGATTCTGCTAGAAGAAAGAACTTTACTGCCACCTGCTGGAGATAGTTTATAATACACAAATCTAAGCCTTGTTGCACAGTAGTGGATAAGGCTCTTGACTGCTACCCAGAGGTCAGCAGTGCAAACCCACCAGCTGCTCCGTGGAAGGAAGATGGGGCAATTTGCTTCAGTAAAGATTTACAGCCTTGGAAACCCAATGGGGGTCGCTGTGAGTTGGAAACGACTCGATGGCAGTGAGTTGGGTTTTTTTGCTAAGCAAAAGGTCAGCAGTTTACCCTCAGACTATGGCCCCTAGCTGCCTTTCTGGTCTGGAATTGAACTGACTCCTGTGACTTCCAGCCAAATAAAAGACTAGCATATGGGCTGAACATTTACATCAGGTAGATACACTCCTTGGAGAGATCAATCATGGGAAAACAGAAGGGCAGTGTATGCACAGGGAGACAGCTGGAGGCGGGGGCAGGAGTGCATGGGAGGGAAGGACACGGGAGAGGTGGTTATGGGGAGCAAGTGAGAGGAGAGCTGTTGCACTGTGGGAGAGGGCAGTCAATATCATGACACAAAGTGTGTATGAAAATGAATTTGCTCTGTAAACTTTCACCCAAATCACAATAAAAATTTGGAAAAAAAAAGGTCAGTGGTCAGTGGTTCAAACCCACTAGCCACTCCATGGTAGAAAAATGTGGCAGTCTGTTTCTATAAGGATTACAGTGTTGGAAACCCTATGGGGCAGTTCTACTCTATCCCATAGTGTCATTAGGAGTTGGAATTGACTTACCGGTACACAACAACTTGTCCCTGGGTGCTGCAGCCAGTTAAGCGCTTGAATGTTAACCAAAAGAATGGCAGTTTAAACCCACCAGAGGCTCTTGGAGGACAGCCTGGTGATCTGCTTCCAAAAGGTTACAGCCTTGAAAATCCTGTGAGGCAGTTTTAATTGGCACACACGGGATTACTATAAGTGGGAATCCACAACATGGGGACTGTAGGTAAATGGCCCCGTTTACTTGGAGGCCTTAGGCAGTGCACCTGCCAGCTCTCTTGAGCACACTGGAAGTGCTAAAGAGATTTCTGTACATGATTGCAGTTCCCCAAGCACTGGTACTGAAATAAGACTATTATTTTGGAGCACACCAGGAATCACTTACATGATTTTCCTTGGGGCCTTTATGAGAGTCATAATTGCCCTATATTCCTTGACAGAATCCTTTTCTTTCTAGGCCTTTTGATCAGAGTGAAGGTCAAAGGTTAAAAGAGCAAGTGGCAAAGGTATGCAAGAGAAAATAAACTCTTGGAGACCAAAGAAAGTAATGCTAAAATTAACATAAAAATCCTTCCAAAATTAACTGAAGTTAGATTGCTTAATGCAGTTTTCCTCATTTCAGTATTCATCACTCCATAATTAGACTCCATAGATGTCATACCCTAGCTTTGAAAATCACTGTGTGCTACCACTTTGAATTCCCTCGTATGGTCCAACCTCTTATATCACCTACATATGTACCTTGCATATTTTATATAACCTATAGATGGTGGTGCCTGTCTGTCTGGTCTTCAAAGTATGAAAAAGTGCTCCAAAAATAATACACCTTAATTACTTGAGATGTAGACATCTCTTTAGCAACCTTCAAATCAGTTAAAATACAGTCCTTGGGCTTGTTGTTTGGACTTACAGCTAAAGACTAGTATATAGACTCCTATGTTATGATATCTGTATCATCTTGTCATACTTACACCTGGTTTCAGATCAGACAACCATGATTTATGCCTAACTCTCCCTCATTTCCTGACCCCACATTTGAAGTGTGACATGTCCCCATCATCCTACACTCTCCGTCTTTTTAAGTGAGTCCAGGATTGGCAAATTTATGGCTTTGTGAGCCGTACAGCCTGTTACAACTACTTAGTGCTTCCTTTTCTGGGAGAAAGTAGCCAGACTATGGGAATAAGTGAATGGCCTGTGGAACATTTTCTGTTTGCTCACCCATTTATACTCCTTTCCCATAAACCCTTCTTTACTTCTTTATACAAAGGGTACTCCCATACATCTGTCTTGAGTCATATTTTTCTGTAAGTATACACTTATGTGTGTTGTGTATATTTGTGTGAAGTATGAGAAGAAAACATCAATCAACATATATTGAACATTTGCTATGAACCAGGCTTGGTTGAGGATTTCAGTCTTTTATCCCTTCTTAATCTACTTGGAGGGATGATATAAACATACTGAATGATGAACAGCTATTCAAAATGAAATGAGATGTTACAAAATAGGATTCAAAAATTACTAAATGGGATGCACAGATAATACGTGAGGATTTTAATTATAGCACTTCATACATTACATAAAATCATTAAGATACACTACAACTTGGTTGTAGCCAGTTGCATAAACTAAGTGACATAAAGCCTGTCACTAAAATAGGCTTGAAACTGTGTGTTCATTTGCACACCCAGCTATTTCCATTCCATAGGGAACCAGAGGGGATGTTTATTAACAGGTGACTTTGTGTAGCAGGAAAATGTGTCCTTATGCTCCAAAATTCATATTCCATAACGGACTAGTCTGAACTATTCCAGATTTCTCTCTATATTTTGAAGTGCTTTGAGAGACATACATTTTTTTTTTTTTACTTAATGTTCCTAACCACCCTATTCAATGAATAAATATTGAATACTTACTATGTATAGATATTATTCTAGGTGTTTGGGATGTATAGCAGTAAACCAAAAGACCAAGTCCCTGTCCTCCACAAAATAGATTTTATCTTCATTTTGAGGAGAGCCTTTAAGAGTTTAAGTGATTTACTATGGCCACAAAGCTAGATGGTGGCAAGCTCTGGAAACAGATAGTTTGGACTCTATTAATCATTTTCACAATAATGCTGTTTTGTTCTCGACTCTGGCAACAGGTACCCGCAAGATGGAGTATAAGGGTAGCAGCTGGCATGAGACCTGCTTCATCTGCCATCGCTGCCAACAGCCAATTGGAACCAAGAGTTTCATCCCCAAAGACAATCAGAATTTCTGTGTGCCCTGCTATGAGAAACAATATGCCATGCAGTGTGTTCAGTGCAAAAAGGTATCTCTCTTTCTCCCTTGGACCTTGCAAGTTTGTCTCCATGACCCCTGCCTGTCAGTTCTCCCTTTGCCCAAGAAATTACACCTGTAATATTTGAATGGCATGAAGGTTATGCCTATCTTACTTTGCATTTCATAATTCTGATGTTCTTCTGTTCATGTTATCTCTTGAGCCTGTGTTACAGCCCTTCTTTCAAAGACATAAGCACTGTTGTGCTCTGAGATAAAAATCCTTTAGTCTCTACCTTCTTTCAGATCATTCCCAAATATTTTCTCATGTTGATGACTTCATGTGAAAGAGGAGAACTCACTATCCAAACACTGTCTTTGTTGTGCTGCTGTCTTGGAAAAAATGAAAAAAACCAACTGCTACATGTGATGCAGGGGAGAAAGAGAAGTGGCTAAAAGCAAACACTCTAGTGCCAGTTTCACAAAGGGGAAGACCAGGGTCTAGAGCAATAGTATATAAGTATATAAAAGGAAGGTAATAAAGGGTGACTATAAAGTTTGTAAAGGAACTCTAGTGATGTAGTGGTTAAAGCATCTGGCTGCTAACTGAAAGGTCAGTCATTCAAACCTACTAGCCACTCTATGGGAGAAAGGTGGGGCAGTCTGCTTGTGTAAAGATTTACAGCCTTGGGAAACTAGATTGCCCATCTTCTGAAGAGGGAAGAATAGGCAGACAAGCTACACAGATCCTCTTCAACAAAGAAAAGAGAAACCAATTGACAGAGATACAGAAGATAATCCTGGAGCCCTGAGCTTTGAAAGGAAGTATACAAAAGTGGATTAGGCACCGACTAGTGGAAAAACCTGAACAAGAATGTTGTTGTTGTTGTTGTTTGCCATCGAGTCGGCCCCGACTCATAGCAACCCCTCCTTGGGTTTCCGAGGCAGTATCACTATGGAAGTAGGATTGCCCAACCTTCCTTCCGAGGAGTGGCTGGTGGGTTTGAACCGCCAGCCTTCTGGTGAGCAGTCAAGTGCCTTAGGCACTATGCTACCAGAGCTCCCTGAATAGGACCTAAGAATAAGCTCTGTTTGCCAAGGGCAGCAGGGACATATGGGAGGCTGACAATGGGAAAGGAGACACACAGGTGGTGAGTGTATAAGTGCTGCCAACTAGCAAATACAGGAGTACAGTACCTTACTTACTTAGATAAAATCCAAAGAAAATAAAAATTGTAGGCAAGTCACTTCACATACAATCACCAATTAAATATAAACACAAAAATGTCGTAATGCCTCGGAGACAACAGAGCATCACAGTGCACACAAAGAAGCAAGAGAAACGAGGGACCAGGATAGAGACCCAAAACACATCCCTGAGGAAAACACAGCATTGGAACTCCCTGATAAGGAATTCAAAAGAATTATGTTTAGGTACCTTCAATGAATTGAGAGACAGATCAAGGAAAACACTGACAAAAATGAGGAAAACACAGAGAAAACCCTAGAACAATTTCGAAAAACAATACAAGAACAAAATGACAAAATAAATGAAAAATTAGAAATGATAAAAAATCTATTAGATAGAAATCCAGACAGTTAGTACTAAATTTTCAGAAATAGATAAGACATTGAATGGGCAAGGAAGTAGAATTGAAATCAATGGAAGACAGAATTCATGAGATTGAAGGCAAATATCTCAATACTTCTTTAGAAAGTGATTAGTCAGAAAAAAGATCAAAACCAAATGAAGAAAGCCTAAGGTTCATCTGGGATACCATCAAAAGGAATAACCTATGTGTAATCGGAATTCCAAAACAGGAAGAGACAAATAAAACCATAGAAAAAATGGTCGAAGATTTGTTGGAAGAGAATTTTCCTGGTGTGATGAAAAATGAGACTATATCCATTTAAGAAGTCTGACGAACCCCAAACAGGATAGACCCCAAAAGAAAATCACTAAGACATATCATCATCAAACTCACCAAAACAAAAGACAAAGAATCCTAAAAGCAGCATGGGAAAAACAAAAAGTTACCTACAAGCAGCAACCAATAAGACTAAGCTCAGATTTCTCAGCAGAAACCATGCAGGCAAGATGACAATGGGATGATATATATAAAACCCTGAAAGAAAAAAAATTACAACCAAGAATTATGTACCCAGCAAAACTGTCCCTCAAATATGATGGTAAAATTAGGACATTTCCAGATAAGCAGAAATTAAGGGAATTTGTTAAAACAAGAACCAACCTTACAAGAGATGCTAAAGGTAATCCTTTGGACAGAGAAGCAACAACAGCAAACAACAACTGACCATTAACACACATGGTGACATAACCCAGAAACCAACCCAGCTATGGAAGTATCCAAAGTAAATAAGCCTACAAGAGTATAAACAGTGAACCAGAGACATCAATTGACAAATGAGGACAACTACAAACCAAAAAGAGGGAAAAAATTGTGTAGTTACAGAACTTCTAAATGGTAGGGAAGTCAAGGCAACTATAACTTCAAAAGGGTAACCTCAAAGAAAAATGATAAACCCTTACATTGAAATTAAAAAGAGGACCAGCACAAATATTTAGCAAATACTAAAGCAATAGCAACAAAGGAAGTGATAACATGATTCATAAATAGAACAAGCTCAGCGCAGAAAATTATATGGAACAAAGAAATGAATATCACAAAAAAGCACATAACAAAAATGACAGCAACAAATTCATACCTGTCTATAATTACATATCTGGCAAGGGATTTATCTCTAAGATTTATAGAAAACTCCAATGCCTCAACAGCAAAGGAATTAACAATCCATTTGAAAAATGGGCAGAAGAAATAAATAGACACTTCACTAAGGAGGATATTCAGGTGGCCAGCAAATGCATGAAGAGATGCTCATGATCATTGGTCATCAGAAAGATGCAAATCAAAACAACAATGAGATAACCATCTCAACCAGCATTGATGGCAAGGTTCAACGAGACAGAAAATAACAAATGCTGGCAGGGATGCGGAGAGATTGGGACTCTCATACACTGCTGGTGCGACTATGAAGTGATACAACCACTGTGGAGAGCAGTATGGTGATTCCTTAGAAAGCTGGAATTGTAGATAACTATTTGACTCAGCAATCCCATTACTAGGTATATGTCCTAGAGAGGTGAGAGCCAGGATAGGAACAGATATATGCACACCCATGTTCATTACAGCACTATTTACAATAGCAAAAAGATGGAAACAACCTATGTGCCCATCAGTGGAAGAGTGGATGGCCAAACTGTGGTACATACACACAATGGAATGCTATCCACCACAAAAGAATAATGTAGAGTCTGCAAAACACCGCATAACATGGATGAACTTGGAGGACATTATGCTGAGTGAAATGTCATTCACAGAAGGACAAATATAGTATTAGTTTGTTGTTGTGGAGGGCCAAGGAAAGGTTTATATATGGAGGGAAACTTTCTTTGGTTGCCGGGGTGGGAGGAGTGGGAAGGGAACACTGCAAAAAAAAAAAAAAAAAAAAGTTCAGCTTTTTGGTTTTGGTATTAAGTTTGTAAAGCAGTGTCTCGGTGATTTTTAAAACAAACTGAATAAGAATGCCGAAATCAGTGATGACAACTGAGATTGAGGACATTTACTAAAAGTGAGGCTAGTTTTTCTAAGTGGTAAAATGAATACTATTCCCCATTTTCCTCCATGCCAGCCTATCACCACTGGAGGAGTCACTTACCGGGAGCAGCCCTGGCACAAGGAGTGCTTTGTGTGCACTGCCTGCAAGAAGCAGTTGTCTGGGCAGCGTTTTACGTCTCGAGATGAGTTTGCCTACTGCCTGAATTGCTTCTGTGATTTATATGCCAAGAAGTGTGCTGGGTGTACCAACCCAATCAGTGGTAAGTATTTAGCTTGAATTTAACATGGAATTCCCACTTAAATGCACAGACCATCTGCCAGTCTTCACATACCAGTTTAAAGATAACAAAGTATAACATTTTAGCATGGGTATTTGTTTATAGAACTAAAATCTGTAGGCCTAGCAAAGGTTCTGAACAGGTAACTGCTTTTCTCCTTGTTATATTAGGTACACTTCAGCAGGTAAGTACTTCATCTGTTGTTCACCTGATCACCTAAAAGCGTGTCACCTGTTCTCTGTAGGTTTATTATTTCTGCTTCAGGATGGGTATCTCCAAAAGTCCACCTTAGAAGCAAAATGAAAGCTGGCATTTTCAGGCTGTGGTACTGTGCTCTTCAAGGCCCCACAGAACCTAGTGAGACTTTTCTACTGCAAGGCCATCGCTTTGTGAGGGCAGAGGGCACATTCTAGGTAGTTGTTTGTGTCCTCCAAAGTGAGAGGCCCCAAATCGTCTGGGCAGACCAGGCATTAGACTAAAGTGTTAAATATGCTGAGAGAGTTTGTGTGTGTAACAGATGGGAGCACCTTTAAGCTGCTAACCCAAATCAATGACCAGGAGAGGAGAGCAAAGTGTGTATTACTTAATGGCAGAGAAAAAGTTCCACTGCAGTGTAGTAAATTACATAGTGTGGCTTTTCTAGTCTTTGTAAACTCCTTGGTGGAATTTGCCTTGAGCAACTAAGTAGCTCGTGATTGTTAAAGTTATCCACCTGGGGTATTTCTGTTAAGAGCAGCATGAAGCAATTTTCTGGAAAGTTCGCTTGCTCTCAGGTGTGTGAAATTCTGGTATTGAGATTAGTTGGTTTTGCCACTCTGCTGGGCTTAAAGTGAGTCTTTGTAGAAGCAGGAGTCTCTGACTGTGGGCTGAGAAAGACATGCTGCTGAGAGAAACAGTGCTGAGAGGTGTGAGAGAGACGTGCTGCTGAGAGAGAGATGTGAGAGAGATGCATTGCTGACGGAAAACGTACTAAGAGACTGAAAGAGATGGCCTGCTGAGAGAGACAACCGGCTGCTGAGAGCCTGAACATGTTCCTGAACTTGAATTGTAGCCTGTTCCTTCCCTAATACACCCCATAATCTGTGAGTTGTTTGTGGCCACTGCAGTGAATTATCGAACCCAGCAGAAAGGTAGTGCGTGCTATGGAAGGGATGGTTGGTGTCAAGGTTGGTAAGAGGGCTGGAGGGTGGCAGCATGTCTGGCCTCATAAGAACAGGCCTTGGGCTGCTGATGGTGATTCTGTCCTCTTCTTGTGTTGTTAGAGGAGGTCAGAAGATGCCACCTTCTTGCCCCTTTAGCATCCACTATATATTATTTCCAGTGCTGTTACATTCATTTGATTAGTTGTCTATATCACACAGTTGAAACTTTGAAATGGATCAAACCAGATACCTTTTTCACTCCCAGTTGCCTTATCCTAAGGAGCCCTGGTATTGGTGTGATGGTTAAGCACTTGGCTGCTAACAGAAGGGTTGGTGGTTCGAACCCGCCCCACCTAGTGGCTCTGTGAGAGAAAGCCCTGATTATCTGCTTCCGTAAAGATTATAGTTTAGAAAACCCTGTGGGGTAGCTCTGCTCTATCACATGGGGGTCACCATGAGTTGAAATGGACTTGATAGCACCTAACAATTACAAGGGAGCTCTGGTAGCATAGTGCCTAAGGCACTTGACTGCTAACCAGTTCAAACCCACCAGCCACTCCTCAGAAGGAAGATGGGGTAATCTACTTCTGTAATGATACCACCTCAGAAACCCAAAGAGGGGTGGCTATGAGTCAGTCCGACTCATAGGCACATAACAACAATAGCAACATAGTAACAACAGCCTCATTCTAAACACTTGGTATTCTCTTTCTGCTTTCATCCAATGTAAGTTTTCTTCTATTAACAGGAATTGGAGGCACAAAGTATATCTCCTTTGAAGAGCGGCAGTGGCATAACGATTGTTTTAACTGTAAGAAGTGCTCCCTTTCATTGGTGGGGCGAGGCTTCCTCACAGAAAGGGATGATATCCTGTGCCCTGACTGTGGAAAAGATATCTGAAGGCAAGACAAAGAAGTTACCGCTTGCAGTATACACAGATTTATATATTTTCTTTCTCAGCCAGGCAATACTGTGTTCTGGTTTTCATCAGCCATGTCAAGACTTTCCTGTTGTGCTTCTCAGTGACATTCATGTTCGTTTAAATCCTTTAATCTCTTTTTACTACTTCTTTCCCAGGGAAGAAGAAACCTTACATAAACCTTAGGTGGGAAGATGGTTTTGAATTTTTGTAATGTAGTAAGGCAAATCCAAGAGTAAAACTCCTTTGAGTGATAGCATTAAAAATGTATCTTTCTTTCACTGCATATTTAATTTTTAAGTGCAATTAACATGTGTCACAAACTTGAAAATTTTCCAAACTATATAAGGCAACGAAGAGTTTGTATTTACAGCTGTGTAACTCTTTGTCATATAAAGCCTAAAGCAAGATTATGTGATTTACAATAAAGTTATTCAGTACAAAATCTTTTTGCCACTCAGTGTGTGTGAAATACTGATTAAACATTGACAGTCTAAGTATAAATAACACTTTATTGTATTGTTTAGTTACCATTGTATGAAGTACAACTTCTGATGAACTGGATCATTGTTAAATTGCATCACACCTTTTTTTTTTCATTGTACTTTTTTTTAAATTTTATTGTGATTTGGGTGAAAGTTTACAGAGCAAATTCATCTTCCATACAACAATTCACGTACACTGTGTCATGACATTGACTGCAGTCTCCCAAAATGCAACAACTGTCCTCCTACTTCCTCCCCATAGCTACCTCTTCCTTGTGTCCTTCTCTCCCATGCACTCCTGCCCCCTGAACTGTTTCCCTGTGCATACACAGCCCTTCTATTCTCTCATGATTGATCTCTCCAAGGAGTGTATCACACCTTTTATTTAAGAAAAAATGTTGTTGTTGTTGTTGTTAAGTGCCATCAAGTCGGACCGGACTCATAGCGACCCCTCCTTGGGTTTCCGAGGCAGTATCACTATGGAAGTAGATTGCCCCATCTTCCTTCCGAGAAGTGATTGATGGGTTTGAACCGCCAGCCAAATAGCAACAACAAAACCTTCAGTCAGACCATATCTTTATTCCTTGCTGCCTTCTCTGTTTTCCTCTTTCCCAGGCTTGCTTTTCTTGGAATATAATGTTCTGACTTTGATGCAGTAACATAAGCTCCAGAATATGAACAGGCTGACAGCAAAGCCATTTTTCAGGGCCCTTTTCTTTTTTTTTTATTAGGATTTGGGTGAAGATTTACAGAGTAAATTCACTTTTCATACAGCAGTTCACATATACTTTGTCTCATGTCATTG